AGGACTTTGAATGTGTTGTCTTTTACAATGTGTCATCAACAACTAGAGTCCATTGTTGAACATGTCATCCGTAGGCAGGGGATAGTGAGTGAGTCCCACAGTCAATAAAGTAACATTTGAATTTCGCTAAGGTGTTCTGTTTTGCTGATGTGGTTCGCATTCGTCCGAAATTCAGCAGCACGCTTCGGAGCTTCACAGGTGACTCGGCGGAGTCTTCAAACGTTCTTCGGAAGTTTCGGCCAATTGTCTGAGATCCCACAAAATGAAAATGTTTTGAGGCGTCAAGATAAAGATTGAGGCATCCTTTGCTTTCAAGTTCGAGTATGAGTATAAGCTAAGCTGCTAATCTTGGTTTGTGCATTTCATGACTGAAGTTAAACGCTGAAAAGCTCTAGTTAGTGATTTTTCTTGATAAAGTGTCTTCGATCGTGCAAATCTCTCTAGAACACCCTAACTTTATTAGAGAATCGCTGACGGTGAAGATAGATTGCAAGTCAGGTTCCAAGATAGACTCGTAACTTTAAATTGAACTTCGGATGGAAAACCGACACAAATTTATTTAGGAACGTGACTCGCGATCTGTCCTTGCCGTATGCGATTTTCTAAGTAAAGCTAAGGTTCATAGAGCGGGACTCACATAATCTAAAACTTTTTAGAGCTTTGTAGAGCTGCTCAAAACAAATATCTTGTTACTCATAGTGGAAACAGGTGTTATCCCAAACTATTTCGCTCACCTCGAATCTCTCATCTTGAAGCGAAATGTACAATCAGAAAAAGTTCCAAGCTCAGAAAATAATACGTATCTGCATGACTACTAAGTATTTCCAAAATATGTTGAAATCTGATCCCTCTTTTCACTCATGTCTCCAACTACTTCCACAAAATGTTTTTCACTGTCTAGAGATGTTTTTACCTCTATCTGACGCATGTTTCTGCGTGTCTTACAATTTTAATATTTTTCTAGTAAATCCATTTGATTTTTGAACGAGGCAAAGTAGAAACTGGATGGAGCTAGAAATAGCTATATAGGGTAACGAGGCGCTTTCAAGGTAATTTCAGAGCATTTTCCGTCTTGAGACAACACCAATTGAAAAATTATTTTTATTCTCTTATCTGCTATTTTGCATTTTGCAATGCTGTTGTCGTGATTTCCCTTGGTATTTCGATCGATAAAATGCAAATCCATCCGTTTGTACTCAGATAGGAAAATTATTAAGTTATTAGGATACTTTAGTAAATCTTGCCTTTGTGTTAATAAATCTCCGATTAATTTTAACGAAAGGGCATCACTATGCCAACTAGGGACAAACGCTGGATAATTACCAAGGAACTTTTTTCATTGTCCAACTTACTTTGCATAAATGCATAGCCTTCATAGGAAATCTAGAAGCTATTTGCACACCAAATCCCCAACGCAATCTCACCCCGCTCAATAAGTACTTACAGGTTTGAAACCAAATTTTTCTTTGTAGGCGAAATATTCGCTTTTCTGAATATCTTCTAAATTATTCTAAATTTTTGGCTTGTAGCTGATGTAAGCAACGATGAATTCAACTTGGATTTTCAAAACCTTAAGCTACTATGCTATAGGCTGGTACAATAGCTGAAGCTCTAGCAAAGTTCATAAAAATTTTGATTGTTAGCTAGACCTGCGGTTAAAGATTTTTTTACGAGTTACAAAAAACGGGATTTTGCTGTGAATAATTTTGTATTTTCTTTATTATTCAGACCGCTTGACTATTGAAAATTTTCTCCAGAATCATCTCTTTTCCTATCTTTTCGACAACATCTACAAACCGTGCCTCGTGAGGTCCTCTTAAGCAATGATTACTAGAAATGTGAGTAGATGCAAATATTTTGTTTCATTTCATGCATACTGAATAATAAATCACGTCATTAGGATCTGTATCCTATTCCAACTCCGTTGTTCTTTTCAAACAAAGTTTAAATCGGGCTCTTGTTGATGAAACCTCGGTATATAAGGAGAGCTGGGGAGTTTCAAGATATTTCATTGATTTTAGCCTAGATTTTTTCAAAGCCAGGGTAAAATAAGGAAAAGTCCAATGATGGTAGTAATCAAAACACTAGGGCAATTGGAATGCTCAGTTGACCGTTATCTCAAAATTGTCTTTGATTTCTCGATGAAGCTATAGCTCAAATTACCAAGCTGCTGCATAAGTTCTGTACGATTTTCTTGCCTTATATTGGAAGCAGTAGTTCTAAGAGAATTTCACTCATCATGCGATACTATTTACATCATTAGAAAGCGCTTTCTTTGCTCTTTTTAACTCGTAACAAATTTTGATATTGACAGTCCAACGAGACTGCAGGCTTAAGATCCTCAGGTGGCCGAGATATGTGCGTTCTCTTCTGAGAAATATGCAAGACAAAAATGCGCCGTTCAAGTCAAATCCTTTCATTGGTTGCCGAACAAAGGCGTAACAGGCTGGTATATGCACTAACTCAATTCTATGGAGAATAGTCTTGCTAATAAATTTGTTGTACAAGAATAATTATTTCTATGAAATTCACAAGCAATAACTTTCTGCGAATAGAGGAAACCGTTGAACCAAAGTTGGAGGTGCCAGACTAATGCAAGAGCTTGCAGAATCCATCCAAAAAATTCCTTTTCACCGCTCAAGTCAAGTTTAAAATTTTCATAATTCGTAAATAGGGATGCACACATGCACAAAAGCGAGGTCAAAAAGCGACTTTTTTGTTTTCGGTCAAGAGAACCTCTCGGCACCTAAGACCCTATGGGCTCCTTCAGGTTGTAAAATAATCTACGAAAATCTCTATCTATCCATATTTAATTAATGTGCCTGTCAGTTCTTATAAGGGAGCATTGCCGTGTCAAAAAATACAACTCTGAAGAAGAACGCTTTGAAGTGCTTGAGCTCTCCCTTCTTCTTTAATTGGATTTCCCGCAAATATTAATATTTCTCGATAGCCAAAGGACACAACTCAACTAAAACCAAGACCATGAAAAAAAGTTGACTTTGATAAGATTATGACATCTGAATTCAAAAATTCCAATCGGACAGAACTTTTGCAGCAGCCTGATATATAAATTTGTCAGTCACGTGTTTCACTTTCAGTGGTAGCCAATGTTGATCTGTTTCATTTCCAGTTCACAGTAAAAGCTTTTGAAATCAGGAATTACTGCTGTTTGCACGGTCAGAGTATATAATCACAAATCTATCAAAAGATTGACATTCAGACTTCTCATTATCTTGCACTTTTAGAACTCTTATTGCCATGTAGATTACCTGTGTAGTGAATATCTGCTGACGTTATTATTTTTATGGATCGTTTTTGGTTCTTTGGTTCCGTATATCGCTTTATTTACTATTAAACTATTTATATTAAACTTCGCTGGGGAGTCGTTTCCTGTTTCCCTGTTGGAGTCACTGAACCGCAAATCATTTGGTATTTTATTTTACTTGTGCAAAATTTACTTTTGCTACGGTAACATATCCGCTAAAGATTTAGCCATTTTATCTTTTCTTGTTCCCTCATATGTCGCCTAATCCGCAAGTTTTTATTTTCGAAATATCTCAAGTGAATGTTAAACCACTATCTGTTAGAATACTGTAATCTGAAATCCAAAGTCCATTTCTGCATGAACCTTTTAGCTTACAAACTCCCGACTTCGCTCTGATCCAGTTTATTCGAAATGTAGCTAGTATAGTAGTAGCTACAATTAGCCATGGATGTGCCTTTATACGTAGGTCATGCACATAAATATCTAGTGGATGATTACATTTGCATACGAAAACCATTGTTTTTTGTGGTGCAGAATTATTGATCAAAACAGTCGTCTGAACACAACTCTATTTACATATCTTTCTTGAGCAGGTCTCTGCTATATGTGATATTTCTTCCTGCTTGCAAACAGCAATATTGAAATTTTTCTTCGTCTGTCCCCATTAATAGTTTCCATATCCCTGCAGGGTTAAAAATTGTCAAGCTTTACATTTAGTCTAGCTGCTATACGACCCGATTCCAGCTGCCTTATGGTTTTCTTTTCAAAAATGGATCACTCTTATTTTTGCATAAGTAAATAAAAATCAAGTGATCAAATACAATGTGGTACTCCATACGTTTTCTCTGTATGAGCATCCCAAGAACTCAAATCATGTATCATGACTTATGTACATCGTGAATGGTTCTAAATCCGCATAGTCTCAACATGGGCGTTTGAACTTTGAGTAATCAAGTAAACTTGGGACTCAAGGTAGTAAAGTTTTTGTGTGGTTCCCAGAAACTGATCTTCTTGCTTTTGACCTTTTTTCGCAATCGTTCTCAAAGGACAGATAGATATGTACGATATCAATATATAGGTTTGAGCTTTTTTTCAAAGTTCAGTGTGGTTACAGTATTTTATGCATGTCTTCCTCTCAAGAAATGTACATATATCGTCTGATCTTGAGTAATGACTTTTTCGGAAGTTTGCTTCACTAGCAGTCCTGTCCATCGCTGTTAATAATGAAATCATCTGCAGACTGTTGAAGCACATAATAAGAAGGAATAATAATTGGGTGTAGGTTGTGCCATAAGTTGCGAAAATAAAACCCTTTGCTTTTCTTCTTTAGTAAAATTATTCCGTAGTCAGAAAAAAAACTATGTGAACAGAAAATTTACCCTAAGATGACGAAATTCCAGAGGCAAGAAAGTGGCTAAAAGTACTCAAGATCCAGAGAGAAGTTTATTACAGTTTTGCAATCAAAAATGGTCATGTTCCTTGCACTTTTGACCTCTCTTATAATCTGAAGTATTGCTTTCGCTACGAAATCGCTGTACTTCGAGTTATAGTTCGTTTTCCTTTTTAGCATCGAATCTATTTCCATGCCTAGCTCCACTGATGCGGAACAGAATCGTTCCAACTATTTCGAGCTCTTTCCACTCAGTTCCATCCAGCTCTGCAGCTTCACACAGCTCTCGTTCAGTCGACGCCTCAACGAATTTTGATGCATTAATTACGGCACTCACACTTTCAGATGAGGCTGTGCGTACGGCTTCTGGCATGGATTTCACTGGTCGGTTGCATAGTTATCGATAGCGACTACAATGTGGCCATGGACGACGAAGTGACACCATCGCCGACGTCGTCAGCGAAACGAAAAGAACGCAATTGCACCAGAGATACGGCTATCATCGACAAACTGCTGAATGGCACTGGATACAACAAGTTTCGGATACCAAGTATGTTACTTGCATGAATTCGTTTTATCTGTACTTAGATTGATCTGCCTTGTAGTAGAGGAAATTCTATAATAGAATAGAAACATGTCTGCATGATTTGACTTACCAAATTTTGTCATCATTTCTGTCGCCAAACGCTCCACAAAACAGTATCTGGTCACACAAAAATAAGCTCATTCACTTGTTTCCTCTTTTAATCTTTCGATTAAATCAAATAATATCTTGGAGATCAATCTTCGATTGACTGAAATTCATTTAGAAGCGGTATTACTATCCAATAAATTATGCGTATTTGCATTCTTATCTTTCGGAAGACGATATGAGTTTTAGTGTTTGTATCTGCAAAGCTCAAAACTAACTGCATGACTGATTATCTTGCATGAAATCTCCACGAAATAGTTACAAAATCATCTACTAATTTACATTACTAGCTCATTTTTCAGTTGAACTGATACAACATAAGAAAAACTAGTTAAAATTAGATATGATTTTGTGTGTGATTTTGATCATTGCTCAAGCTACTAGACACGCAAGCAAGTAAACTGAGACGATAATGGACCCGAAGCAGCACTTTGCAGGATATTTTTCAAAGCTAAAATTACTTCTATTCTGATAATAGCTTCTTACTCATCTTCGCTGGCAATGAGGCTTCTCTGCGGGTGCATTTGCAAGGAAAGACTGGAAAATTTTGATCCAGAAAAGTGTTGCGTATCGGCTAGGTTCGGTGCAAATTGAATTCAATAAACTCGATTGAAAGTTTTCTCGCATTACGTTAGTGTAGATGTTAGCTGAGCTTACCATCATTTTTCTAACATCTCTTATCATCGTGTTCTGAGCAAAATTCTCAATGCCCTTTCGAACGCATTTGGACAAATTTTAGATCTCGCCTTGACAACACAAGAAATTAGAAAGTCACTCCGAATTTAGCTGGGCAGACAACTACCCAATTCAGCTCGGAATTCTTTAATGAACCCCAGCATATTTTTGTTTTCTTTCACCTCTCAAGATATTATGCTTTTGATTGCTTAGAGCGGTGACGAGCAGCCCTTTTTGAAAGTGGCTGTTCAATGATAAAAACTTCCTCAGAAATTCATTGTTGCAGCTGAGCGTCAGATCATAATTCCGCAAATTCTGAGAAAGATCAGCTTTGAAATGTCTTGTCCTGCTAATCGCAAGATTTCAAAATGGCAGAGTTGTAATGAGCTGTTGTCAGGAGAAATTTTTATTGGCAAATGAGCATCAAATAGCACATATTTAGTGTTTATAACATTCTGCATGTATTTGTGATTTTAAAGGATAAATTCGTTGGTTGCTTGGGCTGTTCTCCTTATTCTCCCAGAATTCAAAGCAGCAATATTCAATGTCAAAACTCATGAAAATAAGAATCAGCAAAATTAAAAGCATCTCGGTCAGCTTTTCTGCGGAAATTTTTAAACATAGCAGGTGGTAAGTAACTTCCAAACAGCTACTAAGCTAGTGCATTTTTGCTTGTAAACTCTTTCAAGTTTGACAACAGACTAAAGCGCGCTTCTTGACCGTTCCCGAAAATGCAAGAAAACCAGCTGATGATCTTCGATAGGATGAAAATGTTTTCGTTGAAGTGGAGCTTAATTGCTGGTGCTAGCAAAACTTCAAGAAGACCTTTAAACATCACTCTTTGGAAAATTGATGCTTTGTTCTCGAATCTCACATAATGCAATAGGCTTCCCTTTTGTTATGCGCAGGCCTTCTATTATTGACAGTGATGAAAATTGACTACAGAAAGTGTAGTGACGCCAAGCAAAACCACGTAAGAGTCTGCGCTAGGAAAAATTAACTATGCAGGCAGAAAGCTTCAAAGTTATTTCAGAAGACGACGGAGTGCGAGTTAGCGTGCAGTTCTGGGTCCAAGCCATCACATCCATCAACGAAATCACCAACGATTTCGAGGTAACGGCAATTTTCTACTTGATATCCGGATGTTACTCTAGCATTCACCTCCTAGATGGATATCTACATCAATGAAATGTGGATGGATCCAGCACTGAATTTTGCAAACTTAAATCCATGCAAGCACAATCTATCGTTGAGTCATCAGGTAAGCCAGCATAATCACACATATAAATACAAGGTGAACATTTGACATTGTTAGGCTGAGGTCAGAGCTCGGCATGAGTCTTCTAGACTTTTTGAAAACGAAGCCCCTTAACTTTCGCAAATTTTTGAAAAGTCTGTTTGACCCTTCTCGGAAACGTCGACTGAAAAAATTCATCTTGTGATTTTTTGGAAACGATATCGCCTTTGCTTTTTCTCACCGAATAAAGTCCATCCTACTTCCAAACTAGAAAACAAAGTCCAGCCTGCTTCCTAACTATTTCCGCCGGGCCCTGGCTTAGGTCAGGCTTACCATTACCGATACTTTGTTTTGATTGTTTCGAAATTGCTTCACTTTTTATAAGCTAATCGAGGTTATTAACAGGTCATATAAGTGATTGGGACTGACGCAGAAAAGTTTCTTACACTCCACTCTCAAATTTATTGCAGACGAAAATTTCAAAAATTTCTGCGAGAAAAAGCCTTATTAGACAGTGAATGATATAACATAAGCCACTCATTTCAGGTACTCGACAGATTATGGACGCCTAATAGTTGTTTCGTCAATAGCAAATTTGCTGAAATACACGATTCTCCATTCAAGTAAGTTTTAATCATTATGGGGTCATGCTGTCATGAAAGTAGCGCCTAAATTAAAGAAATGAAGAAAGCCAATAATTTCAAATTGTGAGGAAGAGCAGTAGTCAATGACAGCAATATTAAAAAAAACAAAACTTCATCGTTTCCTCCATAATAAGTTTTTGACTTTCTCTCAGATAAGCTGAATTTTCTGATTTAAACGAATTAGGGTTTTGAGTTGTGTTACCCCTTCAAAGTTCAAGATCATAATCAAAGAGCCATTATATAATAGATAGAGTTTGAAATATACGCAACATTGCTCAAACCAATTATTTTTAGGAATGTCTTTCTCATGCTCTATCCAAATGGTACCGTTTGGGTAAATTATGTAAGTTTCCAATCTTTCCTTTTCATTTCATAGAATAGCACAAGTGATTTCTAGCGGGTAAATGTCAAGGGACCGTGTGCTATGTCGCTAGAGCTTTTTCCGCTTGATATTCAAGAGTGTTTCCTCATCTACGAAAGGTAAAGCTTCTATGGTAAAGTCTTTGTGATTCTCAAAATCCGATTTCAGCTTTAATTACAACAATCAAGAAGTGCAGATGCGATGGTCAAATAATCCCGATGCTGTGATCGTGATGACACCAATAATGTTGCCAGATTTCGATCTCATCAAGATTTCGCCGACCCTCGTTAATGCTGTGAGTTTTTTTGCAGGCTTACTCGCCAAAAATTTTTTATTTTCATTTGAAACATAATCTAATTGCTAACAGAGGAATGGTCAGAGGTCGAAATGCCAATCCAAATTAGCAGCACACCATTGGTTGCATTTTACAATGCTGATTTCAAATCTGTCTTCCGTATCTGCTGGAGCCTTTGTAGTCGAAGTTATCAACAGTTTTATTGCCAAAAACTTGCACGTAGAATTGCGAAATCGAGCATATTAATGCCTTTTTAGCTCACCTTCATTATGGGATACATGAAGTAATCTAGCTGCATGTGTAGGTGCAGCATTCAGTCAAACATGGCTCTCTACGACTAAATATGCACTTTCCACGCACGATCTTAGAAAATAATGAAATTTGATAGCTCATTATTCAAGCCACAAAGGTGTTCAGCAGATACGGAAGATAGATTTGACGTCAACGTTGTATGCCGCACCTATTGATATGTAGCTTGTTTGGATTAGTCACTTCAATTTCTGACCATTTCCTTGTTAGCATCAGCCTTATTCGGCATGTCTTACTGGTACATACAGCATAAGCTCAGCTTCAAAGCAGAGTTAAAGGTTGGATACTATTTTAATCTAACCATTATAGCCCTATCCTGCCGGATGGTGGGACGAACTGCACGTCCGGCTAACGTTCGAACGTCGTTATATTTGGTATTTTATGCAGGCTTACCTACCCACATACCTCACAATATTCATAAGGTAAGCTTTCTAGTCACACTCTTGTATCTTCATTATAAACATCAAGACTGATAGTTCTTCGAAGAAAAATACAAGTCGATTGACTAGGTAGTGTAGATTGAGAACGAAAAAAGTTTTGTAAGAATGAAATAATTTTCACTACTATTTTGATTTGCTTTATTTTTTCTTGTCACAGCTGAAAAAAACGCGGAGAGTTGATGTTGACTTATAGTGTGGACCCCGGTCAGCTTCCCATAGGTACCTGCGCGACGCATCCGCAACGCACGCCTTCAGCGCGCCTCCTGTCAATGGCATTCCTTGCTTTCCTTTTTCTCTCATTTTCTTGTTTTTGTTTTACTATATTCCCTCTATTTCAGGTATAAACAATTCACATAACCAGTGATGAAGTTTCACGTGCTCTAGGCTAGGCTAGGCTTGGGAGCTTCGGTCTAAAGTACTAGTCTTGTGTTTTTCCTTTTTTTACGAGAGATTGAGATTTGAGGTGTATTCTAAGAGAATAATCCTCCAAAAGCTTTTTGTACTAAATAAGAGCCCCTCTCGACTTGATTTTTTAGAGTGTAGACAGTGTATCAAGGCAAATTAAGCCTTTCGAGAAGTGGTAGGGATTTGTTTACGGAAATATCCACATTTTTTGAGTTAACCATTCTGGTTTCTAAGTTTACGAAGAGAAACGTTTTGAGAATTCTGTTGTTCTTTTTCTGCTCTGGGTTTACTTTTCACCGCTTTTCCATCGGTGCAAGTCTGGAATTTGCAGCCATTGATTGAAGCTGAGGCACTAATGGAGGTTGCGTGCATTTTATCCTTGCATACGTTTCTTTCGAAGTGAATTCATGGGTCACTTCTCAATTCTCTCTTATGGTGCGTAGATATGCTCTATTGCTCATAAGTGAGGTGAGAAGCATCAAGAAATGCACGCGCTGCGGGTGCGCCGCGGAGGTACCCATGGGAAGCTGGTCGGGGTCCACACTATACCAGGAACCATTAGAAATTACTCCGTGCCAAGCTATTTTCAGTTGGATATCTTTCTGTCTTGGACCACGATCGCTTCCAGCACGCACCATGCTTGGTGTAAATGCTCTGCTTGCTATGATATTCCAATTCGGAAACATTATGAGGAACCTTCCGAGGGTATCCTACATCAAGGCGATAGGTACGAAAATTCATTGAAGTGTTTTTTTACTAGGAATTAAGACAGCTGACAAAATGTCCATATTTCACCTTCAATGGATAAAAAAGATTAATTTTGTCATCATTGCAATGAGCCAGTAGGTCATGAGTCAAGTCTTGAACTCAGTGCCTTTCTGCAATTAATGGACGAGTTGTCTCAGAACGAGCTACGCAGACATTTGACTCTAAACTCCCTCAGCACCAGGGTTGTATTCATTGAAAAAAGTGCGCGTCACGCCGTTATGGTCGGGAGGCCAGAGCCGTAGAATTGCCGGCTTAGCAGTTGTCACCTGAACATCATGAGCTGCTCACAGCACAGCTGCTGAACTCAAATGAATTTTTGGTTGAATGCGGGAGTCCCGAAGCGACCATATGACGGAATTATGCCCTAGAGCACGTTCAGCATTTTAGGTTTTTCTGACGCAGTCTATATTATGCAAACAACAAGACTGAATCTACACATATTCATTCATCTACAGATTAACTTTATAACAAAGTTTTACAGTAAAACTTCAGAACGAAAGTTAACAACAAAATCAGAAAAATAAGATCACTCTTCTGTGGAGGAGCCAAATCTCGCCTTTACGATTGTGCCATCATAGATCTTGATTACTCTTTTTTTGGAGTTGAAGAGAAAAACATCACATCTCTGGAAAATGGAGATGAACTTACTCTGGAACAAGTCATAAACGTATTGTATCAAATTCGTATTGACGAAGGTCATCCCTGAAAAGAACGCATAAGAATAAAAATTTGATTTCTTCATACAGGAGCACCAAGAAATTGCGCACACTGTTTGATCGTCAGTAATAAATGAATGTTAGCATAGATAATATGCAGTATGGCCTGTTTCGCCTATACTCCTATACAGTATCAAGAAGACTAGATCACTCCCGAGGCTTTCCAGTAGGGAAGAGTGGCTTGAATGAAAAACTAATGGTTTGGCCTTGAGTGTTGCTGTATTTAAGCAGGTCTTTTATAAGTCTTTGCTTCAATCTCTTTTGCCGATTTTTAGGTAGCATTATGTACAGCTTGCTCCAACCTGATTTACGATATGGAATAGATCTCTTTTCTCGTTAGTTGCTTGAGCGTAATCCAAGATTGGCACAGAACTTTATCGTACAGAATGACAGACAACGTTTCGGCGAACTCGCCGTCTTCAGAGTCTAAAAAAGTCGAAGACACATAAGTAAACTATCCGATCAAACACCTCGTCAACTACAGAAAGGAGCCCAACCCTCTAAGAAAAACAACAGCCTCAACCAAAACCAAGATTAAGCTAGTGCTCACCTTAGCAGATGATAATTTGGTGAGTGCAGACCACTTATGTCAAAAGCTGAACTGCTTTACTTTTATAGTTAACTAGTGACCCGATTCTGACCTGACCACATTATTCAAAAGCCGCAGAGGCTCTGATATGGTGACAGCTCGTTAGTAATGGCTAGGCACTCGTCCTTCGGGTTGATTTTTGAAGTTTGGGCGGCTATCCAAAACGCTTCGAGTGTCTTGCGCGCTAGGATTTCGGGTTCACGCGCCAGGATTCGAACCTGCACCACCACCTCCGCGTCGTCATGGCTGAGCCTGCGATGCAGGCCTAACGAAGTAGCTACGTTGCCCTTGCTGAGACCATCTGAGTGTTCTTTGATGCGCGTGCATAGGGGGCGACCCGTCTCGCCAATATACGATAGATCTCTCTTCGCTACGATCATATAAGATTAGGTTTGAAGAGGGCTCAGCTCAGCCATTAAGAGTCGCTTTTGCCCTGGAGAGAAAACAAACAAGCCAAAATCTCTTATACCAGGCCAATCATAGTCGCTGACTATGTATTTGGAATTTGTAAATCACTGTCAAGCTTCTTCAGTAAGTTATTTTAAGTAAACTGTTACAACTGCTTTTCTAATCCTCTTCAAAAACGTGCACTACAAAAAAAACACGGAGAGGTTTAGAAAGTTGTACAAGGCAATCAGTATGTGTAAAGCCTACTAGACAATTTTCCCTTGCTTTAGGATTTTTTTATCACTCGGCCTTCTTGACAATGGCGCGTATGAAAATCGTAATCCCACGGTAACGAAGAGAGATCGGAGATTTGCTTTGTACTGTAATTTGAGTTAAAGCTGCTCTAAATGATGATACTTAGAAATTGGCGAGAGACATTCAAGGAAGTGAGTTATTAACCATCAAACAGTGTGCGCATTTTTTGGTACGCCCTGTTGATTAGATCGGCCCAAGCTCGTTGCGTTCTTCAGACCCACGCTCAAATTACTCGAAATGATGATAAGCGAACGCTTTAAACGGTATTCGATGCAGATCTCCTTCTTTTTGTAATGCTAGAATAATTCGTCGGACTCTTCAAGCTAGGAATAAAAATAAATCTACCACGGAGTCGCTTGCAAGTTTGGAGCAGAGATGATTGGACCAAAATGATGTATCCCCCTCCGGAATTATTTGAATACAAGACCTGGGAGAGATTGATGACTAAGCTGTCCGCGCCTCCTCTGTTAACGCGTCAGAGTGCTTCTTCTCTGTCTTCCGTTTTCTCACAATTCTATTCGATACTTAAAGCTGCGTTGAATATGCACGTTTGAAAATTCACCCCTAAAATTTAGCATGTCTTCCAGCCGGTGAGAATACCTCTTCTACAAATAACCCGAATACGTCCGATACATCTGAAATTCGGAATCAACTTCTTGAAGTGTACTTACAATTAGATAAAATAGCCTAGAAAACAACTAGTTTTCAGTCTACCACCTCTTCCGTTCTTCAGCTTATCGACAAGCACCTGTATAGCGTGCGTCTCATATGCGTTACATATTTATGTTAGGCTTGATTGCGCAGTAAAATACATCCGTAAGGAAATGCAATAAAAATCAATACACGGAGGTAATGATAATGAATATGCGACCACGCTGATTGTGTCCCTTCCCTTTACCAAAGACTGTAACCAAGTTTGCAACCTGCTCAATGATGCCTTCTATCCTGTGTTACCTCAAAGGGACCCTCTCCTTCGATATCCGACATTTTCCTGATGTTGCTTCTGTGGAGCCGCAGTTCTCAGGCATGAATTTTGGCGCATTTTTGAAGTGGTGGTGTTGTCCTGCAAATAGTTCTCCAAATGTCGTTCTCTGGCCAGAACTACGTCCATCAAGTTAAGTGTATAGGTGCTGCAAGATTGCTCAAAGCTATCGACAGGTCGCAGATTACATTTGTCCGCTCTCGTCATACTTTGCATAATTCAAGGAGTTGCGAAGGTATGGCATTCTCTTGCAGCCTTGCCTTGTGTGTCACAGATTCAAAGAAGCAGTGATCTGTGCAGTGCAGTAGCAACTCTTAAGCAACCGCCTGCAACAACGAGGCGAATGTTAGCCTATGCTGACTTTTCTCGAGATCTTTCTGATTGTGTTAAGTATCTCTTCAGTTTTCCATGACATAAGAGATTTTTCGACAGCGCTTTTTAGTACACTGCAACTATGCAAAATTACTTTTATGGAGACAGAATCCAAGATGGACCACCTTGACCATTAGCCATGCGGGCAAGGTTTCTTCCAATCTTACGCTTTTACGCCTACTTCCTGCTCCTTTACGTGCTTGTGCAACCAATTTTCTAACTGAAACTTGAGCATACAAAAGCTTGGGATTTCGAAAACGAAAGCATTGAATGATGAAAAAGAAGTATGGAATATTGATGATACAACTAAATGAATATTAACGAGCTGGAAGTTGTATTTGTTCCTGGCAGTCTTAAGCGCCTTTGCGGATCTAAATCCTCATAAGATCTACCGTGTGCTTCAACCAAATAGTCATCTGTGAACAGCGAGAATTCAAGGACCCCAACGCGTGACTTTTACACTTAACTAAAAAAGGTGTTCTTGAACTTGAGTGTGTGAGGTACTGCGGTACATACAATATCATCGGTGCCGCCTTTAGAATTTCCGAAATAAAGCGATGTTGCATTGAAAGCGCCGCAACCTCATAACTCCCTTGAAAATGATTTTTAAGCAGAAAGGAGCACATATTCGAAATCAGCGTCCCTCATTCTATCTGAAACCATAATTTATTTTCGAAAACTCAAATTTTACATTATACTGGTGACATCACGGTAAAAGTCCACTCTCCTGGGGATTTTTAGCTCACAAGTCGCTGTATAGTCAGTAATCATTGAGATTCGCTAGTACAAATCATTAATTACATAGGAGAGGTCTCAGTTCTTGTTTCTCATGAAGTTTTGGGAATCTAGAAGTTTTTCATTTCAAATAAAAAAAATTTCTATCAGCGCGCAAGGTTCAAAGTTTGAAGGTTCGTAATTTTAAAAATTTGTATTCATAGGCGCATCATTTTATACTGTCAAATAGAACTGCACATTTTCTATAAGACTGATTAGAGACTACTCTCTGTGCGGGTTTTTCACGCTAGATATACGAGCCCGAATCAGAATGCTTATGCTCTGATTGCAATGTGGGACCATTTTTAAAAGATCTTATCGTAAGAATGGACATGGTAACGTGCTAGAGTTTTTGCATAGTGATAAAATAGGCTTCGGTAATTAAGACCTGCATAAATATTGATGCTTGTTGGAGAAAACTACCGCATAACGATGAACGAAAGAAGTCACAATTACATACTACACTTGATTTTTATCCACAAACACCAGAATTTTTACATATTCTGAACCTACATGCGATAAGTTTTAGAAAATATATAAATTGCTATTTCTACCGGCACAGAAAAGTATTTTACTAGGTGCGTCTATTTGATCCACTAAGTGAGCTTTGGTGCACCTGCACTCGGCTGCAGCACAGGCAGTTCGCATCTCGCAGATGCAAAGGTGCAAATCTTGTCTTATGAGCAACTAGACCATCGATCGACCTTCATAGAATAACTCATCATTAGTCATGGGATGAATGACAGCGTGAACTTCAAATTTTGTCGGCATAATTCATCAAAAAGAAATTTTGATGAAGTTTCTCAAAGCTTGACGATAATTATTGTTATCTTTTTTAAAATTTTGCCGTTGTAACAGCAGTCACTACAGAGAAGTATTCGACTTTCTTTACCATGGTCAAATAAGTATTCACGAAGTGGAAATATCTACTTTTCTCCGTTTTCTCGCACTTCTCTCTCTCCCCCCCCCCCTCCCCGTTTAAATGGGTTTGATACATGTCAGGGGTTGGTTTCGTTTTTTGACGCCTTGGTTGACCCCAAAAGTGTATGAATTCTTCCATCACGATCGATATGGAAAGTGTCTCTCATTCAGAATCTCTGTCTAATTCTCCGGCCTCCAATCAGTTGTTTAATGCAGGGGCAAACACTGCATCCCAAACATCCCAATGGCATGAGTACGGTCAAGCGAGAAATTTTGAGAGTCGATCATAATTGATTTGACTTTTCGGACTCTACGATTTTCAATTATTTTTCAGCAATTTCCCATTATCTTTTAGATGAATAATCGTTTGCAAGTTTTTTTGAATACGTTTTCCTAAACACGAGACGAAATGAGAACTTACCACTTCAATGCTCAGCTCTGCTATTAGCACAAGCAATGGTAAGCATTGCCAGTTTTCCTCCCAGGTCTTCCACTAACAGTCAACGGAATCAAAGTTGCTAATTCTTCGCACAAAACGGAGATCCAGAAAATAGTGTTCCGTGTTGGTGTTCTTGAACTTGAGTGTTTGAGGTACTGCCTTACATAGTACGGTTCATCGACATCTTCCATTCAGATATAGGAAAGCTGTAGTAAGATAATTAGGTGGAAAAACATTACAGTTAGGAACTTTACACACCCTTTTTATAAAAGTGTGATAAAATGTTGAAAATTTTGATATCAGGATTTGATATGTAGACTACTCGCTAGGAAGAACAACAGATCAATCTATGACAAGAAAAATAAACAGGAGACGGTGAAATAATACGATTGAAAAAAAAACGAAAGCGAGTGGCATAGACGGAAGTGATGGAAATGACGTCACATATGGCGGGCAAGCGCCAAAGTCATTCGATAATTGCGGGAATTCGAACACGCATTTGACTTCACCTGTGAACCTCGCCAGGCCAACTCCAGCATTACCATTTCGTCCGATACATATCTCGAAACAGTCCCGACCATTTATCCGGCAGTCTTAACTCCAGTACAAAGTTTTTTTTCCGAGACAAAAAAGAAAATGAGTGGGTCTTTTGCGGGAGTTTAGATCGAATGTATGAGTATCAAACATTTATCGTCAGTAAAGATGTCAGCAAATTTGCGGAATGTAATGTCAATACATGCAGAGTGTCAGAAAATGTATATAGTGATATGGCTTACTTATAAGAAAGAACTTCACTACATCTCATAGGGAAGATGGACTTAGAAAGAAGGTTGAGCACTCTGTTAAAGAAGTCTTGTTTTTTCTACTCACTACATTACATTGCTCAGAAATTTTTCCTATGTTGGTAAAATTCCTTTTTTGCTTTTGACAATGGCAAGCAACTCACTGATTACAAGATGATTTTCTCTTTGTTTATATACCTAGAATAAGTACTACCGAAAAGTTGCAATCCTTTATGGCAAAATTGATTCATTCATATCAAACTCAAAAAACTGGTAGAAAATTGGTAACATCTAAATTCTTCAGACGTGTGGATGCTGATGTCAATGACATTCGTCTTCTGTAGTTTACTGGAATTGGCCATCGTAGGGTATAAAGTAAAGAATGAGGATTTGCTGAAAAAGCGTGGATCAGTGTGTACCAAGAAGGTTTGCTTCTTTTACCTCTGTATACACCGCATTATAGCTTCGCAAATCATTTATTCAGCCGCCGATCAACAACCATGTGAACCATCTGGAAACCTCACCGACAAGATTATGTCGGTACGATCAACGTCTCATCTTGCCTATGGAGCGACGAGGTTTTCTGTACAGCATCATGGCTCGTATCCAGCATATACGACACCTACCTCCGGAGAAAATTGACCACGCATCTTCGTTTATTTTTCCAGCATGTTTTGCACTGTTTAATGTGAGTCAAATTGAGTTATGTATCTTTTTATTTCGAAACTAAGGTTACAATAGGGTACTGGGAGGGCGTGAAGTTAACAAATATGTGCGCCGCACAGAGTTTTAGACATATCTACGAGTTACGTATTTCCTAATATCGCTTTTGCATTTCGCTCTTTAGTGTTATGTATTTTTTTATATTTCGAAAAAGGTTACAATAGGGTAGGAGGGCATAAAGCTAACAGGAATATGCGCTGCACAGACTTTTCGACTAACATATTTACAAGTTGCATATTTCCATATTCGCTTTTAGGTTGTCCCAAAACGTCTGTCATTTCATAAAAAATTTCTTTTTGCGGTCTCAATGAACTTGCCTCTTTCTACTTCTATTAAAAAAAAGAAGTCTTTTCTCTGTAGATATGTCTCGATGAGCTTCTACTATGCATTGATGGCAGAGATAAAAATGGAAAAAGAAGACCACTTGAGCTTTGACCATTTTGAGTTAGGCCTCGGACAGAGTTCACGCCATTTGATCGTCGCGATTTAATCGCCGCAATCTTTATTCATTTTCATTTAACATTAAAAAATTTCGAGTTGGAAAAGTATCACAACCGAAACGCAAGCTGATCGGCATGCAATGAACTCGTAACAGTTGTCTTGTAGCGATCGAATCGCGACGATCAAATCGCGTAAACTCTGTCCGAGGCCTTAGGTCGCCTAAAATCTGAAACTCTGTAAAAAATCTGAAATTGTCAGTACACAAGTTTTATGACCTAGTCTTTGCATTTGAATCACGCTCATCTGAGAAAAAGTTGCGTTGTTTGGACGTCTCAGTAAAAAGTTATTTCTTTCGAGTTCACAGTAAAAAACGACAAAATTGATTAATCGGTCACTTTCCTCGAAAATCGTAACTTTTTATTGAAACGTCCAAACAGCACAACTTTTTCTCAAATGCAAAGACTAGGTCATAAAACATACTGACAAATTCAGATTTTTCGCCAGCATTCCAGATTTTTGCCACCTAACTTAAAGTAATCAAAACTCAAGCGGTCTTCTTATTTTTATCTCTGCAATGAATGTATAATAGAAGCTATCGAAACACATCCACAGAGAAAAAGACTTCATCAATCTTACACATTTAGAAAGAAGTGAATTCGTTGAGACAGCAAAAAGCTAGAAATTTTCAAAAATGAAACGACAGAACTTTCAGGGCAACCTAATATAATGCAAACGTGCGGGTTTAAGTGATGATTACTTGTCAACGTTTTGCTCATTGACGCGGTTTCTACGAATTACCGGTTAGTCGCGTCCCTCCGAAATCTTTTCAATAAACAGAATTTTAGAAAATCCAAAAAGAAATTGCAAGTGAAAATAATACTTGTGTCTTATACACTTATTACAGTTATGTAATCTGTTTTGCTTTGCGTGGCTCCTACATGGGCCTCAAAATTCGCAGGGTATTTAGTATTTGCCGCACTCTGAAATTTGCAGGACGCTCTATAAGAAACTATAGCCAATTTGCAGTTGGCTACATTCTCTTGTAGAGCGAATGATTCCAAATCGAAATCCTACGTATACGCTCACTTTGTGAAACTGCTATAACAAAGTCGCTATAAACTATTGGGATAGGGTAGATATGCATAGGACTGGAGGTTCATCGTCTTTGGTGTGGTTTGATAAAGTATAACTCAGTGCGAGCAAGTAGAAAGTTCCCATGAGACCATTGAACAGAACGGTTCATAAAAGTTGTTGCTGTAAAAAGACTAAAAAAATTTTTTTTGTGAGTAACTGGCAGTCAGATCTTAGACAATTGATAATCCACTTACATTGCGCTAATCCTCCTACTTACTAAATCAGAAAATCAAGTAATTATGATATTTGTAGACAGCTCCTCATACTGTGCGTTATTGAATTTTACGATAGATCAACGACAAGTGATTGTTATTTTTCTGAAATCGATTGGCAGTTCCTTCACCGAAAAAAAAAGAAAACTCTGTCATTTTCTTTACAGCAAGATTCTGTGAAAAGCATTTTGTTCAATATTCCCATTTGAGTTTGTTACCTGCATTCATCACAACCTCTTGAAACCACTATCGATTATCTTATCACCTTATGTCTACCGTATCCCCATGGCTTACAGTCACTCTGTGTATCGGGAGAATCGTAATCAAAAGATTCAACCTTCACGATTGAGTACGAATTGCCTGTGGATATTGTATGTATCTGCTTTACAAAAAAAAAAGCTTGAACAAATCGCAAATCACGCACATACCGCAAGCCTCACGAATCGGCGAGTATCGCAAAACCTGCCAATTTCGCATTCACATCACTTCTCTAATACCTCGAAAATGGTCAGATTCCGCTATCATAACTGCATGTGAGTGTCAACGACCCAACTTACGCAGCTGAGCTAAGCCTAATGGAAATTATACATGGTGTCACAAAAAGACGTGCCTACTATTGATTGTTATTAATTCTCTTGCAATGAAGCTTTTCGAGAAGCTTTAGGTATCGCTTTGTAAAGCTGGCTTCAGCTTAGATTTACAGTGTAGAGCAAATCATCGATCGCTCTTCATTACTGTACGATTACGGCAAAAACTCCAAGCATACGTTATCACTGTGAAAGAAGCTGCCGTTCAAAAGATATAAAAATATGTTACTAGGTTTTTCATGGACGCTGGCTTAGTTGAAAACTAAACTTTGTACAATATTGCGAAGCTTTCCGAACGGTGTAACCGCACTTTTTGGGAACATTGGAAAAACAGCCGCTTTTGCTTATTTCGCTTAATTTTCTAATGAAGCATTATGATAAGCTGCTCACTCGCAGTTAGAATCAGGAACCTGATTAACCCAGCGTGAAAGTTTTCAGGTTGTTTTTTCTGAGACAAAATGAAGTCTTAGCCGTAATCTATCTATACTTCTTATATATAAAGAATCGTAACACTTATTCAAAAACATCAGATAGCGGGAACCGCAATATGGTCCCGAAGCGCGCGGTTGCAAATCTAGAACCTTTGGGATTATTTGTTTACTAGTCCTACAGTAATGGGGAGCAGTCGAAAGTCGAAGCCAGCGCTACAAAATGGTACCTAAACCTTCTCGAAAGACTCCAAGACGAAAGTTATTAACAATCAAACAGTAGGCACTTTTTTGGGACAGCATTTAGAAAAAGAGTTGAATTTGCCATGAGAAGATGTTGAATACTACCAAAAAGCTATCTTGCGGCACACCCAACTTCTCAGCTTCTTCTTTCTCTTCTCCCACACTCTTGCGAAGCATTGTAAGGTATTTTAAAGCTGCTTGTCAAAGTTCTTCAGAAAGTAAGCCATTCAATAAGTAAGGTGTTCTTGCACTGAAGAAAATACATGGACCATTGCCAAAGAAGTTATTTTTTATTATGTAGTGTGAATTGTGTAAAGTCAAAGGTGGGGCTGGCAAAAGATGCCAACCTGCTTTGTAACTTGCATGGCTGTTAGGCATACTTCCCTTGTTTGCGGTGATTTTCATTGTAGGATCAGATACAAATTCGTATTTATCCCATGTTGAAGTATCAAATGTCCCTAGTCGAGTTATGTGCATTTAAGCCGCCATACAAAAACAAATATTTGATGGACAGTTGTTTGACTCACAGTATTGCAAGGAATTTTTCCTTCAGCGTTTCAAAACAAAAATGCATATAGTACTTCGAAAAATGGATTCAAAACACTTGCTAACCTTTACAAGCAGAAGTTTTCTCAAGCGTTTTATATCTGCAGATTAAACGCTATATTTGTCGAATGCTACTTAATATATTACTAGCACTTTTTCATGTCATATTAGTTATTTTTAATTTACGTACTACATATTCCAATTTCTTTTTAGTTTATTTGAGCTTTTCAGATCATCTATTGGTCTTTCTACTATAACAAGAAGCTACGACATATGGCTCAATTGAAATTATGAACTTTTCCTTGCCAATTGCTCTGTTTTGATTGCCTGTTATCATTTACTCATTCACTCTGCATATATCATGATCTCGCTGTGTTATCGAACATCTCGATGAGTGCCTCATCATTCTGTGTTCCATACAAAGTTTCCTCACACATCGTGTTTTTTCTTGTTTCCAATAAATCTTGAGAAGCTTTTCTTGTCGAGCTCGGCCAGATAATCGTTCCTAATCCATGCAGTTTTTCCCATTGTTTGCTTGTGACATTGCCCCCCCCCCCCCACCTATGGCGTAAGACTATACAAAGCTTCGTTTCTGGTCACGTTCTTTCGTTCACAAACATTTCTAGAACTAAAAAAAGATTGTGTGACTATCGTAAAGTTCATTGTCAATAACGTGTGACCCATTGACTCTTGCGCAAGATGATTGCCCATATTCATCAACTTCTGTGCTGTTGAGAGTTCTTAAGGGCTTGCTTTAAGGTTCTGTGAAATCGATTTTGACAACTTTTGCCCCACGAAATGGCTTGTAGCAGTTTTATTGAGTTTTCAGGTTTAAAGTGGACCAAAAATATCTTCAATTTCTCCTTTCAGCAGATAAAAATAAACGTATTCTTATTCAGAGAAAATGTTCACTTTCAACTGTCACCCCGAGAAAAAGCAAAAAAACTTTACACATGCAACCAAGTCAACTACTGACATGAAATTGCCAAATAGCTCATTACAGTTAATAGCTGGCATATTCTTTTTATTATAAAAACCTTTTTGGTCTTTACCCTGCTTTTTCTAACCTACAGAGGAGAGAGCCTCAGTCATAGATAAAAAACTCAGAAAAACTTGTTTTCGTTCTGAAATTGAACAAAGCCATACTGAAAGAAATCACTGCGAGCCATTCCCGTAAATTCGGATGCATCGGTTTTGTTCCATGAGGCAAGCCGAGTCTTTGAGAATTCAAGTTTTGCAACACAGCCCATTTTTCTACAGTTTCTAGAATCTCCCAAAGCCCTTCTACTCGTTGGTGAATGTTCTACAAAATCATTATTAGTCTCTTCTTTCCAGTTCATTGGCCACCAGTTCTCGAAACAAGATGGGTGGTTGAAAATGCAAAAAACGAAGTCCCCCTTGACTTTTTCAATTTTTTACGAAGTCCGCTTTGACCCTAGACCATAATCCTTAAAAATCTACAAAAAATGAAACGTCGACCAAAAAACAACGTCGCAAATTCTATGTCTTTTCGGCCACAAAAACGAAACCCCCTTTGCTTTTGTCCCAAGATATCCAGCTTGCTCACAAACCACTGTGCCAAGCACTTTGGCCACCATGAAAACCTTTATGTACCATTTGAGTGAAAATTATTTGCTCTTAGCTGACCAGTTGTTGGTTTTGACACGCTGCGCAATTAGCCACATCTCTATCAAACATGGGTAATAAATTCTTTTGACTCTTTGGATTCCGGGTGATCTGGTGCTTTGAATAATAAGACACACATAGCTGCATATCAAACCGGGCAAGCTGACGTTCGCCGCTTGCACTATGGTGTCTGGATTCATGAGCTATTAGATAGCCGCTATTACCACACTTCGTTTTACTTCGGTATATCCGGCTGAGTCATGCTATCAATAATTTTACTGTCTAACCTATTTTATGGCAGTTATGGCTTCATGATTCAACTGATGATAACTCATTTAATTTTGTTTTAGAACTTCGATGTTTGTTTCTGCGAACCATGTTTTTGCTCTTATTTCTGTTCTTTTTTTCTTTCTTTTTCTCTCTTTCTCTTTGTTTTACTTCCAAAAAAACTTACTTCTCAGTATTAAAAACAAGCTTTATAGATCTTACATCCTTACTGAGGAGTTCCGCGGAAGGTCTGTAAATATTTTTACTCCGTCTAAGGGCAAGAACGAAACGGATTCTTTGGTTATTTACACACTGTGAATCAAAAACTTTTTTTATTGAATGAAATTTAGCATAATGCAGTCATTCAAGAAACAGAAGCTTTGTTTAGCTTCATTTTCCGATTTCCAAAAATGTAATATGTTATAACGAAAATTAGGAAAACTCTTGAATCATATTCAACTAGTTGTCATGATTCAGCAAACGATGCTTGTGTCCCTACAATAAAATAACTATGCTGGTCAAACTAGCTTTTGAAGCAGACAAAGCACTTTTAGCGTGGATGGGTTCATAAATTTTATTGTTCAAAACCTCAATCACTCCATTCCACGAAATGGGCTCCTCTAAAATTAAATTCAGTTTTCCCTCCTTTTCACCTAAATTGCTCAATGCTGTCGTCTGGTTCTATTCATTTTGATTTATGTGACATTGATGCATAAAGAGGTTTACCTTTGTGCTCATCCCAAATTTCAGGTTTCTGATTTTGCCTTCAGTCATGTCTGCAATCTTCACTTGATTTCCCTTAATTAACAGCTATTACCGCAACAAGCAAATGGAGAGATTGAAAGATGAAATTTCTAAGAGATCGAAAAAGATTCAAATGGAAGGCTTGAAATTACATGCACAGTTCCACTTGGATTTCCCATTTCTTTATCCTAGAACCTTAGGAAATAGGCTTCAAATCAAAATTGGTTATCGTGGCCAGAACGTGGGGTGTCCAAAAAAATTTACAAAATTATAATTGCAGAACTCATCCTGAGGCGATTCTTTGAACAGGCGGACACATTCCAAAAATATTGGAAGCTAAACAGACACATTTTGGTACTATCTCACATTAGTTGACCCAAAAAATGAAAACCGCGGATTCGCTTGAAAAAAATTCTAAGGGGTTTATTTTGCGCTGATTACGAATAGCACATTTATTTCATAGGGTAGCGCCATCCGGTGAAGTTACGGTAGGAGGTCAGGACCACATTTCCTCCGAACTTCGTCTAGGGGGGGGGGGGTATTTGGCATATTGAACATGAAAATCATATTCATTCCGTACGGTAGCGCCATATCTCTGGTTACGGTAGGTATACGGTAGATGGCTAGAAATTTCGAATTAGCTCAAAACATTGTCCAGAGGGGTTCCTAAGCACGCTGGACAACGTACGAAAAATCATGCTCTTTTTGCCTTTTGGAACTTTTTCGCCGATTTTTTTTTTCAAATATAGCACCTTTCCAGGCATTTCTGAAGGGGAATATAGTCCAATTTCATAGTTTGACAACATAACCAAACTAAATAATGTGTTACAGTGCAGCGTATTCTCGGAACCAATAAGTCAGTTGTGGATAATTAAACAGAAAAAATAGTTTGATGTTTAGAAATAGCGTGACTGCTTCAAATTGCTTTTACTTCCTTTGTGTATAGGTAGATCGTGAAAGTTTATTTTATGATCAAAGAGTTCTTGCCCGATGTACATACTTACAAGGAATGCATGTTTAATTGAGGTGGCCTTTCTAGATAAGATGTATAACATTTTGAAGGGCATAAAATGCGGACCAAATCTGCTTTCTTTATCTGCAGAATGTTTATGGACTAGGAGTTATGAGCGCTTATTGAAGCAAAAATTAAATGTGCAAGTAGGACAAAAATAGCCGTAACACTTTTTCTAGGTCTTCAATGGAGCAGTGATAATCATCAGAGCAATCTATTCATAAAATACTCTAAAATGAAAAATATATCACACTTGGTTGCAATATTTGAGGACTAGGAAGATTTTAGCAATCATTTTATCCAAAATGCACATTCAATTTTTCGCTCCAAAAACCATAACTCTTCGTCCGTAAACATTCTGCAGATAGGGAAGGCAGGTTTGAAATCAGCGTTTCATGCCCTTTAATATGGTGTGCATCTTATCTAGAATAGCCACTTCGACCAAACATGCTTCCCTTGTTAGGATCTATAATTTTGAACAACTCACAAACCGTAGTAATGTTCTTTCTAGACTGTCAACACACACTCGGACGAGTTTCCGCAGAAGCACATGTTCCTCTCGCTTGACCCGGCACATGGTCAGTCCGTAGCGCTTTTGCAGAAACTTGTCTTTCTATTGCGGAACGGGACGCTCAAAGAGAGATGTCGGCTGGGCCATGGTCATTCATCTTCCTATAAGTATTAGGTTGACAGTTATGGGGCTTTTGCAGCAAATAAGTGAGAAAAGCTTGTAAACCAGTAGGAGAAGGCGCTATCTAAAGCATTGTATTGTTTTGAACCTTCATAATTATCTATGCAAAAATCTAAACAATCTACAATCTATCTACCCAAACAACCAGTTAGCTTCTTGACGCTATGGGTATGTGAACCGGCACAAACCTAGTTGTCACCCAAACCCATGACAGTGTGTCCCACCCATTGCACCTACTTAAACTCTTCCTTGTTTAATTTCGCTCTCCTCTACGCCATTTATGTTTTTCAACTCCCCTACGGACACCTCCTCCAACCCTTCCAGGCTTTTTTGTCTATGACGCGGAACGCTTCTAGTTCTCTTTCCGCATTTTAGAAACTAGCATTCCATTTTCGCTTTCCCTAACACTATTCTTGATGGGGTCTTTCGGGTCGCAAGAGTGTCGCGGGGAAAAACTCTAACAATTGCAACCATATAATAATGCACTCTGACCATTGTCATTTTCTATTCATACCTTCCAGTATCGATTTTTATCACTCTTTCAGATTTTGTGCATTTCCTTAAACTCATCCAGTGTGCTCAACCAGCCTTGAGCCAATGGCTATCTTTCAGTTCTTGTAAAATGTTCCACTTTTCCCCCGGTACAATGAATCTACAAGTAAACGACATCCTATACATCCTACACTTTTGAGTCTCAGTAACATAAAACAACACCAAATATTAGGTAGGTCCGGAAGTTCGTGCCCTTTTTAGACCTCTTCCTCAAATCATTTAGAAAAACGATAGAGAGACACTCTAAATGTTCTTTGCAGAATTTCTTTCTTTTTTCAGCGGTTACGTCTTTGTTCGGATTCCTTATTCTTTCGAGTAATCGCCACATTCTTCAACCCATGCATTACTTACCCTAAATTTAACAATTTTTTTGGAATTTCCTCTTTGGAATTTTGAGAAAGCGTTGATAACAGTTGGATAGAGTAAACAGAATGCTACAAAGCCCTTGCAGTATCGATAGCTGGCTTTTCAGTATTTTCAAAAACAAGTTCTCCAAAAGTCTTCACACCTGTGAAGTTGCAAAATGTACAAAGGCTTCAAGTACTATGAAATCTT